GAAAATGAAAAATAAGGCGATAAAAGAAATGATGCACCATTTTAAGACGACATATCAATTTGCTTCAAACAAATAGGAATAATTTTAACACTAATATAACTATTACGGTCTTTCGAAAAACTAGATAGAATTTGAATAATATTTATGAAATCTAAGTAAGCTATTTGTGTGACGTAATTAAGGAAAATGGCTGGTGAAAAAATTTCAATTTGAGTTTTTCTTCAATATAAAAAAAAACAAATTTTTTTTATAACAATCGTTGAATAGCCTACCCAATATTGAGTTTACTACTAATGTTTAAATCAGTAGCTTTGTAATTTTGAACCCGAATGAGAAGACAAGGGAACTCCAGGATCAAGTATTGGGAGAAATGTGCCTTCATGGAAAAAACTTTTTGATGGAACTAACCCGCTTTTTATTTACATATAGAGGAAAACCACGAAAACCCCTCATAGTGAGCCTGATGGTAAAAGGGACTCTACGCCTTGATCCGGCCATTACCTAGAATATTTCACGTCAGCAATATGGTCGGTGCTAGCTGAATGCGGAATTCGTATCGATCAGCCATCGCTGGGATTTGAACCAGTTTCTCCTCATTGGAAGGCGAACGCTTTATCCCCGAACCACCAATGCTGTAAGAGAGGGAAATAGGGCTTTGAGGAGCAATGAATAAAATGAACACTGAATGTATTTCTAAGCAACGAATTACCATTTTTATTGCTTGGGGTGTTAGGTGCCAATCTACTAGTGACAAATGTGGAATAATTCCTAGGAAGCAAAATTTTAAAGTTCAGCATTTTTTACATTTTTTAGAAAAATAATTCTTTTTTGTCAGACAGAACAGAATTAAAAAATTGTGCATCTGTTGTGCTTTGTATCAGTTTTTGTAGCGTATTTTGTTCCGCTTAACGATATTTGTAACAGGTCCAGTTAACGAGACTATATTTTATTTCGCCGTGGACTATGCAATCGAAATATGTAAAAAATAATTATGTTTCGATTAAAGATAAAATGTTTTGTAATCTTCCCGTAAATTTCACTTCGGTATCTGGTTTATGTTTAACTAATTTTAATTTAGCTTATGCATGTTACATGAATGATAAGTTTTAATTGCGTAATTATCCAAATTCAATCAACTAAGACGCTTAAAAAAACATAACTAAAAATAAGTGTCATCCAAGGAATTTGGACTGATACTGAGGATTTGGACAATGTAGGAATTTGGACTGATTTATGATGGTCCAACATAAGAATAGCAACTTGTTTTGATGGTTTATTTATGTTGAACCATCATAAATTTCGATCATAGCTTCTTAGAACTCAAATGTTCGAACGATCATGAACCACCATCACCTCAATATAGGAACTCAGACTGATTTATGATGGTTCAATAAAAACCCAAATAATTTTGATTGTATATTCCTGAGAACCAAAAGGAATTCTTATTGTACCATCTGGGAAATCTATAGTTGTAACCATCATGGACCATCATGGATCATCATGGACTGTTGGTCCATGAGAATCAAACTCCTCTCGACGGTCAACCATCATAGTATTAGAGTAGCATTTTCCATCATGGAATTATGGAAGTTTGCTCAAAGGAAGGATGATATGGAAGTTGATATCAAAAACCATGAGCGATTAATGGCAAAAGTTGGATGATGGTGACCATCAAAAGATGTTGAACCATCACGAATCTTTCTGAAGCCAACATAACCATCGAAAATGTTTTGTTGGAACGATCAAGTATTTCGACTTGGGCTGAGAATGAGACCTACATTTTTTCTGCTGTTTTGAAATAGAGATTCAATTTCTTCATTTTAATTTAGTAAAAACAAGCTTATTAACACAAAGCACTTGAAATTTGCATATCTATTCACGAATTAAAAATTCGAAATTAATAAGTTTGTTCTAAACCTGACAATATGACTGAAAGATGAATTGATATCTTTTATCATGTCACATATCACTCGTAAATAAAGACACACCCTTGTTTTCATAATTCTTTATTTGTTTTGTTTTTAAAACAAAACACTGCAGATTCCGATATTCCTTTATTTTTTTATAATCAAAAATTAGATCAAACATGCAAGTCATTATCATTATTAGAATTATAATTATTTAGATAGAAAAACACATCAAACATATGTCACCCTCTCATATAATATGCTTCAAACAAATAAGTATAATTACGAACAATTGTTTGTAAAAGAGCCTGAATAAATAATTATAATGTCTATCACGCATAACATACTTCTATATTATATTTCAGACTAAATTACATTATAATAATTGCAGTAAAACAGTTTTTTCTTAATATGTATTGTGTTTATTTTTCCTGAGTTTACTGAGTACATATTTTCAAACGAAACATATCAATGCCAGTATTTGTGCAGAGTAATGCAGTTAAACAACAAAAGGATTCTTTTTAAGTAAGAGCAATTAAAACTCAAACCTATTGTTATATTTTAAAATAATTATTAACTATTGACAAACTTTTAGTTATTTACTAATTTTATCTTTATAAATTTTTATAAATATAGATATCTTTTACAGGAAATCAAATTAGAATAATAGTTTTTAATATTAATGTCTTGTTTTAGATTAATGCTTCTTTTGAATAAACTACTCGAAAAAAGTGAACACCTTAGTAAATTTTGATCGAATGATAGGATAGGGAAATGAAATCAACTTTAAGTGTCTGAAATTTACAACCATTCTTTTGCCTAAACTAATAGGACAATATTTCACAGTTTCTTGCTTCTATTTTATTTTAAGAGTTTGATCTCATAGTTTATAATGCTTACGTACAAATTAATTAGCGTATTTAAGTCTAGTTTGAGATTTTACTATTTAAATTGAGTTCCAATATATAAAAATCCAATTACTTAGATCAGAAGTTTGAAAATATTTAATTTTTATAATTGTTAATTTTGGAACAGTTAATTTATATTGCTATTTTTAAAGTTTTCTTAAAAAATATTTTCGTTAAAATTTCTTGCAATTTGTACATATTTTAAAGAGTGAAAAAGAAATTGGTCTAAATATTTTTAAAAAATTTGTAAACCATAGACAATATATATATATATATTGTCTATGGTTTATATATATATATATATTTAAATGTTGATGTTGATTTGTTTTGAAGGGAGTCAGAATTATAGAGAACTGTTACGTCATACATTTATTGTGTAACTATATTTAAGAGTTAAAATTAATGATTCAAATATTAATGAAGGTGGAGAATTTTATTAAAAAGATAAGAGTTTTAAAACTACGTTTAAAAGAATAGTTACGTTGCGGTAGACTATTTTATGTTTTAATGCAATTGTGAGGGAAAATGTTTTCTTAATTTGTAATTTTAGAATTGAAAATATTTCGAAACAGTTTTTGTAAGTGAAGCTTTAATCTTACAATTGGAATCAAAATTACATATTTTTATTTTAAATTTATCTCCATAAAAAATCATCTGTAAAAAAGTAATAAATCTGGTGTAATATTTATTTACTGGAAGTTACACTGAAATTTATATTTTTGTTATATGCAGTAAATATTCATTACTTCAGGAATATAAGCTATTTAATTAAAGTTTACACTATGACAATTTTTTTTTATCATCTATTACGAATTATTTGGACAATCTTTTCCTTCACATAAAAAAAACAAACATTTTCTTGCCAAATTTTTTAATAAAAGCATAAGAAAGTACTTAAATACACAGGCAATTACTTTAAGAATGTATAAATAATTATAAAGTACTTACTTTTATTTTTTTTCCTTTAAAATAAAAGTGAGGTTTCGCACGTTACTTTTTTAGCATACATCAAAGCATTAAATTACTTTTTCTAAAAATCTTTCAAACAGTCAAACTTAACATTTGCTGTTATTACCAAAGGTTATTTTAAATTAACCTTCCTATATCTAGACGCCATTTAAAAATACGATGTTACATTGACCCAATTAAAGTCATTATATGATTATATCAATATTTTATGTAAATAATTTTTCTCTGTCATTTATCGTTATATTCTACAGCAATAATTTATATCAGTTCCTGTTACAAGACTGAATTATATGTTAACCTTAAAACTTTGAGGTATCTGACTAGTTTTAAAACTTTTTTTTAAATATTAATATAAAATTTTAAAAACTAATTTATTTGTTTTTCTATGTGTAACAATTCATTAAACTAAGAAAAATATTTTATTATTATAATTTTTTTAAATGGCCAATTTTAGGAAATAAGGCATTTTCTTCCTATACGCTAAATACTGCAAAAACATTTCTGTCACCTAAACCAAAAATTCTTCGAGGCTTTTATTTGGATGGCAATCAGTTATATTTTCAACTATTATCTTAAAAGCAGGTGTATATACTACTGAGGCAGAGATCAATGTAGTAAAAAGAGCAAATTTTGAAGAATTCCCTCATTTATCTTTGCGAAAAAACCTTCATAAAAAATTAAATTCTGTATTTTTCTTTTAGCCTGTAGTTCGAAATATGTGTGCTATAATCTTAAACACTCATGAAAAATTGTGCACAATTACTTTAAAAACAAAATGAGACATTAGTTTCAGGTGGTGTAAAATGTGATAAAAACTGATTTTGATATAAACGCCTTCAAAGACTTAAAAATTATTAATCTATCCACTGTTGTCACCTTACAGTATCAGTTTTTGTGTAAGGCTTACACAAAAACTGACATAACTTCGTAAATAAACGGAGCACAAACAAATGTAATAAAGTATTTTTAGAAAAAAAGATTGCTGGAAATCTAAACTTATAATAAACTCAATTTCCAAAATTTTGTCAAAAATCACGTTTTTGCAATAATCAGATACCTTTCGGTTAATTCAAATTAAACTTAATTATTGCTATTCCTTATATTTTAGATCTGTATTATGCTCTAATTTTTTGAGAACTGCCTTTATATTAATAGCAAATATATATCTAAGTTAAAATTCTTGTATTTAGTTAAAACAATTTAAATTTCATTTCAGATGATAAGACTTACGTAATTCGAAGAAAAGCTGTCAACAAATGATTGTTTTGTGAAAAACTTGCAATCATGTGAAAGAATATACTAAGAAAAAAAATAAATAAGAATGAAACATATACATCGAATAATCAAGGATATTTTCTGTGCCTTTGAATAAAACACCCTGTACTGAAACTGTCTTCAGTATAAAAAGCTTAATTATTACATATTTCAGGCAGTGATGAGAAATTATATCAGTGTTAGCTTTATTGCAAATATATATCCTATACATATATCCTATACTAGAACGTGACGAAAGAGCTGTTGAGTTTTGTGTGATCACAAATTGTAGAAAAAATAATGAAATATTAAAAAAACATGTGCACATTTATTTTAATAAAATTTGTTCCATCATTTATTGGTACTGCAGGTATATTCTATGCAAAATTAAAAGTTATACCTATAAACTTGCCTTTCAAATTAGAAAATTAGCAATTTTTAGAGAGGACAATATCATGATTTCATATCATTTTAGATAGACGCTATTTTCTCTAACAAATGCAAAATGTTGTTTTACATTAAATATATTTGTTTATGACAATTATATTTTGTATTAGCAATGTTCCTATAATAAATCATATCATTGAAAATTGGACAATTTAAGATGCATTTAGAATAGAATTGATTGTATACCGAATGTTAGAGTAGACAAAATGGTTGTTCTTACTTTGGTTGTTCTAGAGTAATGTCAAAATGTTTGTTCTCATTTTGAAATCATCTTCTCCAAATTTTACCTACAAAAGTATAGCTTTTTAACGCTACGATACGTTAGAGTGAAAAATGTTTTAGATGATAAAATTTACCATATATAAGCATATCATTTATTGGTAATTCAAAGAAAATATTTTTATTGAAAAATTCAAATACCTAATTTAAATACAGAATGTTATTACTATTGTAGAAATGTTGGACTATATTTTCTGTACGGCGTTATTAGACTCAGTCAATATCAGATAAGAAATATCACAATGATTTTGACTTAAAAAACACTTATTAACTCCCAAGAAATACGAAGAGAATGACAGTTACTGAAATCTTAATGTAACAAATTCATTAATCTCAGACAAGAAAATGGAAGATACAACTGTTAATTCAACCTTTAATATGACAGAAGAACAATTGTGCCTTTTGGAACGAAAATGGTGGTGTTTTCTATTATCCAGTATTATTACATGTTTAACTGGAATTTTCATTATCTTATTGTTCAGAGCATTTGCATTTATATGTTGCCGCAGTGCTACAACTGCATCATCAACGCAGACGATAGCAAAAGCAAAAGATAATGCTAAAGGTGCCAACAATGGAAGAGAAGTCACGGAGATCGGGTTCATGACAGAGGCTAAAGATTGGGCTGGAGAGTTGATATCAGGACAAACAACAACTGGCAGGATTCTTGTGAGTATATTTCTAAAATATGAATTTGATTATTTTATCTGTTAGAGTTGCCTAAAAGTGGATAAGTGTAATAATGGCAGATATCCTGAAATGATAGCAGCGCCATCTACTGGTCATAAATTAAAGTAAGACTAGCGTACCACAGACTGCTTTTCTAACTCATATGGAAACACTTATAGTGAATCTAAGATCTGGTTAAAAAGAAATACAAATTTCACGAGGCAAAAATTTATCCCTCATTTCATTTACTTATGTCAGACAAAATGCTGCAGAGGTGTTCTCTAATTGCAACTTTTTAATTACTTCTAATTGTTCTATCAACAACAATCAATGGATTGATAAACAGATGTGGCGTTAGTTTCATCTGAGTCTTGGCAGATTCAATATTAATACATACAGTTAACGAAAATTTTTAATAAATATGTTGACAATAGTTTGCCTTACACAGCGTTTGCCAAAAACTGCAATCGTTCGTCGATAAATACCAGCATTACGGACACCTCTAGCCATTGCGTTGAACTTTCAACCCTTTCACATTTCGTTGTTCGCTTATGAACCATCTTAGGCGTGACTTTAATATCCACTTTAAATACTGTCATACAAACAGTTTTATCAGCTGTATGCTAACTGTGGAGCACTTCGTTTATTTCATTATAAAACCCTGAAAGGTAACATTGCTATCGTTTCTGTGTTTCTGACTCTATTACGCACTTCCATTCTTATTTCAATTCGACAACCCTAATCAATTTAATTAACATAATTTAACATCACTCGATCTTCATCTGTGGCTTGACACTGAATTAGGAGTTTCTGGGAAATTACAAATTTTAAATTTGAATTTTCTGAATACACGATTGGAATTTTAAATGACGGGACGTCACGCATGTGTTAAGAGTATGATGAGTAAACATCTGTTACACTTGATTAGCAGTGTTGTTTGAAGCTCTCTCACCAAGGACACTAATAAAAAGGCGCAACTTAAGTACTATTCACATGAAACAAAACAACAAGTTTCAACTGTATGAAATATAATTTCGGTTAAGACATAACTGAGCTCTAAAACGGACAAATAAATTTAATATTTTAAAATTTATTAAACCTTTTTTTTTAAATTCACCAATTTGGCAGGATCTTTTCAATTAGAAGAAAATTATCAAAATAAAAAATTCTTATAAGCTCAGGTAATGCAAAGTTAAAGTAAATTTTTAGATTAATTAAAAAAAGACATGTCATAAATGCTTTTCATTTTAAAAAAACTGGGGCTTTTTATTTTTATCAACGTTTCGCATCATTTTCAGAGAGTGCTGGTAATAGATAGGCTAAACTTGCCTACTGTCATGAATAACTGTTACAAACTCCCATGCGACGACAGGACTTTTCAAACACAATAAGACTGCACTTTCTAGTCCAGACAACTGTGATCCAGGCAACTCTGCCTTCTAAGTACGCTTGTATGGCCATTTGTACTAAAAACGGTTACTATATTACCGGACCGCATAGACCTGATGCTAGTGTGCGCTTGTGTGCTTACAAATGGAAACTTAAGCTTCTGATTGTAAGCACAGATTGCAGTAATAGAAGCTTAAGCTTCTGATTTTATTTAGTTTCATAGAATTTAGAATTCTAATTAATTTAGGGTTAACTATTTCAGTGATTCAAAAGTAGGAAGAAAAATTTTTGTTGATATAATTAAAACAGAAAATTTATTTTCGTGTATGTATGTTTGCACCTTATACAAATCCATAATTCTGAACAGATACGCATAAAATTTGGTATAGATACGCTTGAAGACATGGCGAACTTAACTGTCTACTACGACCACTGATTCGCTCACAACACTCCAAAGAAAGCTTTTAATAGAATTTTATTAATCTGTTAAAGTTTTTTACTGTCTTGCAGGTCGACTCAATCGCACGGTTTTATGAATTATTTATCTTTGGTTCACTACTATGATTTAATAAATATTACTGCAAAAATTACGGTATTTCAAATTTTTTTGTTCCGTAAAAATTTACAGTGATAAGTACTAGCATCCTTAATACCGGTTTTTTTACCATATTTGATTATGAAAATCTTATAATTAGAGCAAAAGTTGATCAAGATGTAATTTTATATTTTATTTCGTGTTCTATGCACGAAAAATAAAGGCACTAACTTGAATATCTTATGATTGAATGAATATTTTCTATACAAATGTGATGTGTTTCAATAAAGGATATTTTATTGTAATTTGACCTTAAGCTCTTAATGAATTTAATAAATAAAAATAAATAAATTTGATGTCTATTTACATTTCAACACATATCCATATTTACTGCGCTTATAATTAATTAAAGATTGTTAATATGGAATTGCTTATAATTGCTTCTGACTGATTACATTGATTTAATGAATGTAATTTTTAAAAAAAAATTATAAATAACGAGTTAATGAAATATTTGGGAAAACTTTCTAAAACAATGGGAAAAATCTAATTAAGTCACCAAAATCCCACAAAGACTAATTAGAGAGAAGCCCAGAGAAGCATTAATAACTTCTATTTTTCTAGTGTATGTTTCGAATCAACTTTATTATTGAAAGAACTCATTATTCTTAACTTTCGGTAATTTGTTTTTATAAATCGTAACTGACAAAACATTCTCTTTTGGTCCAAGCCCAAATTGTGAACTTATTTAGAAAAGCAGAATTCCTAATTCTATTTTCGAAATAAATTAATGAACATAAAATGTTCTGAAACATTAATACAAAAGGTCATGGGTAATGCAACGTTAAAACACGTTTTTAATTTTCCAGGACTAAGTTTTTGGTAAAGCAAAATCATTACGATAAATGATAAATACCAAAAATTACGATCAGACAGGTGTTTTAGACAATTTCCAAACAGTTTTTAACAATAATTATTAAAAAAGAGTAAGACTAAGACGAAGATTATTGGTGAGTTTTTAAAACTGGACACAGCTGAAAATTCGCATTTAAGAATATGGACACAACTGAAAATGCGTTTTAAGAAAATGGACATGGTACAAATGACTTTTTTTTTTAACTTTCACTTGGTATATTTTATTTACTCTTTTTAGACTTTGGAAGATAGCAATAGTTGTTTTTACTTGGTTTCCAAGAATGCTGCAAGTGTATATCACTAGTAAATTTCCATTGCAGGAATTCAGAGAATTTAAAACTTACTTTATTACTTAGATTTCTGAATACGAAGACATAACCTGAAAAGTTATGCTAGCAATAAAAGTTAAATTCGTTATCTGAACTCTTTTCGTCAAATTATTATGCGTAGTGCTTAAATGAGCAAAGATAGGTAAGCACACATTTCCTCCTTTAGTTGTTTAATTTGATCTGAAAAAAATGCATATCTTGCTGTGCCTATTTTTGTAAACAGGCAATTCGAATTATGTCCATTTTCGCATGCATGGATTTTGAACTTGTCCGCTTTTTAAATTTAAAAAGCCACAGACGATATTTTAGATAAATAAATAAAAGTACGGACTCAGAGCCAGATGAACAATTATGTTTATAATAAAGAAGCGCCTTTGGCAATTCGCGGTGATATTTTTAGTCTTGGGTTGCGATGCAATTTTTAATCCTTTTAGGCGTGCTCCTTCTTCCCATGTAGTTACCATCATTATTTATAGGACATAAAGAACAGACCATTATTTATAGGAAAGGCTTAGGGGGCCAGTGGTTGAGGGTTCATACCCCACCGTAGGCATGGATGTAACTTTCTCTCTCTGTGTGTTCCATGTCTTCTGTGTGATTGTGCGAATGTAACCCGTCGTAAAACGGGTTCGTGGTTGTAGCACGTGGGCGACGCTACTGCACCGCCGTGACTTACAGGTGCCCAGGATAGAGCTACATGTGCCCACTGGGTAACGATAGGAGAGTAGCAATACTGGCATTTTTGAAGCCAATAGGAAGTAGACCCAAATGCCCGGCATTTGAAAAAGGAGCAGTTTATACACTTCAATTAATATGCTATTGTATACATTTGAAAATATACTTATTACTCACCTCTCTCACGGAGATAAATATTCTGGTAGAGCTACAGTACTCTGAGGTACATTTCTGGTAAAAAAATAAATAATTCTGGTAATAAAAACCAAAATATATGGTATTCAAACCATTCATTTGGTCAATTTTTCGTTCATATGGTAACGGTCAACCGAAGATTCTGGTTTTCAATATTGTAGTTCTTATGACTACGCATTTAGTAGAAAATACAAGAGTAAATTTAACTGAATAAATGATTTTGATACCATACTCAAAAGTATCAGAATATAATTACCGAATTTTACCGTATTTATTAAGTATTATCACATATTTTATAAACATATTTCGTTGTTAATTTTACGAAAATCAGTACCAAAGTGTTTCGATAAAAAAAAATAAAATAAAAAAAAATAATGAGCTTTTTGATGTCCCCATAGCTCCAGAAATACGGTAAATTTTAGGAGCACAGTAAGAAAGCTTTGACCATACATTTTTTCTCAGTGCAAAATGTACGACATCTACCTACAAGTTTAAAAAGTGAAATTGCGTTTATTTTACTAAACAGATTAAATAAAACGATGCAATGCATGCATTCAAATCTTTTTTTTCAATATAGTAAATCTTTTAAAATCTTTAAAAATTTAAAATACCTGGTATATCAAGCATAACACAAATAACAGTTTCTAAAGAAGTACTAATAACAAATTGTTTCACATTTTAGAAAAACTTATTTTGAGACTTTTTTTTGCATCATTTCTTAATATCATTCTTAAACTGAAGATTGTCAAAAGATAGTGTTTATACCCTTAAAATTCTTCTACAAAACTATGAGAGCCGTGGTAGACTAGCTGGTAGGGCGTTGGAGCTATGTTCAAGAAGTCGTTAGTTCTATCCCCGTGTAGTAAATGGTGACTGGTGCACGCTTAATCAGTCGGGTCAAAATTACGATATGTGTATGAAAAAAAGAATGTGAGAATGGGTCTGCCCTCTAAACCAGGCTG